TATTCTGGCTGGCTTTGAGCCAACCCAAATGCCTTGTTTTGAAAATTCAAGAGAAATTCCGTCTTTCTTTTCCTGCCCTAGAAGACGTGACTCAAGTTTGATAGCTGGAAACTTGAATCCGTCTCGCACTTCATCCCAAAAAGAAGGTTTTTTGGGGGGGAGAGTAACAAATGGAACTCGTATAAAGGTATACCTTTAAAAGGAGAAGGTATATAAAATCAGTAATATGGAAAATGGTTATTTGGAATATAATTATTAATGCCACTGATATTGAATGGGGTTTGCTAAAAGGTGGAAATACACCACACAAAATAGAGACTGGGAGATAAAGAGAGGGAAAACGAGAGAGGAGACAGGAGAGAGGAGACAGCAGAAGGGAGGAAAAGAGAAGGAGAAAGGGAAGATGTGGAAAGAGGGGAGAGGAGAGGGAGAGAGCAAGGGGAAGTAGAGAAGAGAGAGACGGTAGAGGGAAAAAATGAGGTAGGGAGAAGGAGAGAGGGAGAGGAGAAGGGTTAAAGATGAAATAATAAACTATATATGGTGTACGGAAAGCAGAAGAGCAAATAAAATTTGACGAGGTTTGATGGCAAAAGGAATTGATATATTATTGAATATTCAATAATATCAAATGTAATGGTATACTTTGGATTATATTATATGTATGTTAAAAAAATAAAAAAAACTTTTGAAACAAAAAAAAAGATGTGTCTCAAGTTTTCAGAGTGTATAAACCAGGTTACCATGGTGACAGAAACCCCAATTGTCTAGAGGTATCTCTAACTGTCAAAGAAATGCAAGGCCACCAGAGGACCCTTGACATTCAATGTTAAAATAGAGAACATTTTCCCAAATCTGACAACCCCTGGTATGTTGGGACTGCAAACTTTTCACCCTGGGCATCTCTGGAGACAAAGGACGTCACGTGCGTTATGCACAAGTGACATGAAGTGTGCAATTTCACAAAGACATCATAATACACATCGTATTGTTAAGGTTTCCTCCAAATGCCTATACCTATAGTGATTATTGCATTTGCTGCAAGTATCTGAAGATGACAGAGAAGGGACAGCAATTTATAGTAGAGCCAGAAGCTTCCTTGAGAACCACAATGACTGAGATGATGGCAATAACAATAGCAATCACACTTAGATTTATATACCACCCCATAGTGTTTTACAGCACTCTCTGTGTGGTTTACAATGTGAGTCTATTGCCCCCAACAATCTGGGTCCTTATTTTGGCTATGAGGACATCATCGGATGATCAAGGAGGGCATATGACTAAGTCTAATGACTGAGCAAAGCATGGCTCTTCTTTTGATTTTTTTCTTGGGAATTTGAGGTTAAGCCTATTTGGTCTTATGTGACTTTTCATATTTCCTGTCTTAAAAGAACAGAAATCATAGATTTTCAGTAATTAAGGCTGGAATGGGTCCCAGTGACAGAATGTGGGTTTGACTCACAGAAGGAGGAAGGGAATGCCCGGCGGTTACAGAAAAAGAGAATTGACTCCTGGGAAAGTAGAAAGTGTGGGAAAGAAACTCAGTACAATTCTATCTTTATTGTGTTGGGTATCTGTTGAAGCTTAGAGTAGCTTTGACAGGCTTTCAATATTCTATTATGAAACCCCAAACCAGAGTACATTTCAAGACTCCTCATAACCCCTAGGGTTGTGGTGGCTCAGTGGAGGAACATGATGGCTAAGACGCTGAGCTTGTCGATCAGAAAGGTTGCAGTTTGGCGGTTCGAATCCCTAGCGCCGCATAATGGTGAGCTCCCGTTACTTGTCCCAGCTTCTGCCAACCTAGCAGTTCGAAAGCATTTAAAAATGCAAGTGGAAAAATAGGAACCACCTTTGGTGGGAAAGTAACAGTGTTCCATGCACCTTTGGCATTTAGTCATGCTGGCCACATGACCACGGAAACGTTTTCGGA